TTGGTAAAGCAAAATGATTAAAAAAAACCCTAGCCCAGTAAAGTTTGCACTCTAAGTTAATTCTTTTGTAGATTCCAGGGGAAATTTTAATACGAATTATGCTTAGTTTTCCTCATTTTAAAAGGAATACGAAAAAGATTATCAACAGCCCTTTGACTTCAAACTTTATTTCAAAATGCATTCCGAAATAATAATATTCTAGAGTAACATTTACAAAAATAATGTAGGCCATGCAGTTAAATGTTTTCAATAAGCGAAGAATAAAATCGTACTACGAAAAAGAGACATCGGGAGCCCTACATTTTAATGAATTATTTGGACTTGGAATATCATCCCCCAATCGTTCATCTGTAGGGAGCTTTCGTTTTACACGACGGATGGCTCTACGACGGTAAAACTTATGACCATGACGCGTCCCGTGTACTAAGTTTCCGTTCTGTGGACAATTCTTTTCGATTTTAACGACGAACTTGTAATTGATCACATGACCAAACGAGTTCGGTATTCAGACTGCGCATGTGCAAGATTTACTGGGTCGCAGGTCATTCTGGATAAACATCTTTCGTTGCGGCGCACGTCGACATGGCGAATCTCCACCGAGTCAGAGAAGCATTAGTTGGTAGTTATTGTTTAAATATCATCAATGAAGTGGAATTTATGCTGCTGTATGACATCAACAAGCCCACCAATCCTGACTTTAAATACTTTGATTATGAAGCGTTTGATTTGGACAACTTTAACGACGATGAATGCATCTCATATTTCAGGTAGGCAGTCTAGCAGTGCAGTATGCACAGGCACTAGCCATATGGGGAGATAGGTCTGGGGTCCAAGAATTATTAAAATTGGGCTGATTTTCACTTGATAATCATCATGATGGTAGATTACTGACCTGGTTTCCTAGCCCCCAAAACTGAATTCTGCTTGAATGTCCAAATATGGCTGCCGTCATGAATATGTCTGTATGTGTACGGATATGTGTGTACACGTCTGGGTATGGTGTATGCATTTGCCCTGTAGACACCGGTACAGAATTCACTTTTTGCGGGATAGTAACTAGGCCTAGGCCTAACTCAGTATCCACCATGCATGGCGATTATCCAGTGATCAGCCTATTCAACAAGTCTTGAACCCTAGACCTTTTTCCCCATTTTATGTCGTGTGGCTGTAACTACGGAGGTAGTCCAGTAATTCAGCCACATTTATGAGGCTATGCACTATGTTACTCATTGTATTAAAACTGCTAGTTAATGTTATTGTTATGTAGCAGTAGCAGAAGAGTAGCAGTTTTATTACATCATCACAGTTCAAGGTCATGATTGATTGTAAACTGACAAATATAATTTATAAATTACAGTTCACAAGGTCCTGGATTTTTGGGCCTATGGGGGGGGGGGGGTTGGAAGTGGAGAGAGGAAGTGAAAATCAAATCCAAACAAAATGATACTTGTTATTTCAAACTAAAAAGTGTGCGTACACTGGACTGGACTGCTTGCTTGCGTACCCTGGGCCCCACGTCACAGCCATGTTTTGTAAGAAGAGGGTCCAGTTGGCCTTTTTTATGTGAAAATGCATTATTTCGGACCTATAGGCTAATCCATGACTCTTGCGTGATCACTGGAGCCAGAAAATGACAGTGTGTAATGTGCAATGTAGAAATTATTTGTATGTGATTTTTTTACGTCAATGAAAGATGTATTTTCACATCCACTATTTGGAAGCTGTATCAATCAATAAATGTGTTGCTGTTGATGTTTACCATTATCTTTTGACAAACTTAGCCATTTTTAGTTTAAACGGTTTCTAGGCCAGCGACAGATTATTTTGTAATACATGTACATTTACAACCCTTGGGCCAAATCAACATAGATTGTTTTTGCTTTCTATCTCTTTCTCAGATTCCTGAAGAACGATTTGTTTCGACTGAAGAATGCGCTTCACGTCCCCAACAGAATTAGATGTGCCAATGGTACTCGGGTTGATGGAATGGAAGCACTATGCATAACCTTGTCAAGATTTGCCTATCCTTGCAGATATGGAGATATGGTCAAAGACTTTGGCAGATCTGTACCCCAGCTGTGCCTCGTCACAAACTTTATGACAGACCATTTGTACGGCTTGTTCAACCATCATTTCCAGACTCTCAATCAGCAGTGGCTTAGTCCAAGGCATCTGGAAGAGTATGCTAGAGCAGTTAGTGATAAGGGTGCAGCCCTCACAAATTGCTGGGGATTTGTAGATGGTACAGTCCGCCCCATATGCCGCCCGACACAGAATCAGCGGGTAATGTTCAATGGACACAAAAGACTGCATGCTCTTAAGTTCCAGTCAGTTACAGCTGCTAATGGAATGATTGCCCATTTGTTCGGCCCAATAGAGCTCTGGTCGAAGGCATGACTGCTACATGCTGAGGTTGTCTGGACTGCTGACAGAACTTGAGCAAAGGTCATATAGTCCAGCTGGTCAAGTTATGAGCATCTATGGGGATCGGGCATATCCGTTAAGAGCACACTTGCAAGCACCATTCAAAGGGAACCTCACACCTGATCAAGAGGCATACAACAAGTCCATGTCAAGTGTCCGTATAACTGTAGAGTTGCTTTTTGGAGATATTGTCAACTTTTTTAAATTTGTAGACTTTAAGAAGTCCCAGAAAGTATGCCTGTCAGCTTGTGGCAAGATCTACGCTGTTTGTGGACTACTGACTAATGCCCATACTTGTTTGTATGGTAACACCACCTCAAGATTTTTTGGAATGGAGCCACCAACGCTGGAGGAGTATTTGCAGGCTGTCAACTAGAGTATGTTTCCCGCCAACATCCTCTTCAGGGCTACATCTGAACCAAATGACCTTTTTTTCAGAGCTAAGTGCATCTTCTAGAGTGATTCTTGATCTTACCTTGGTTTAAAGGTAAAGTCCATCACTTGTAGCTGTCCAAAAAAAAAAAAAACCTTGTTGACATTTGTCACACAATTGTTGGATCTTATAAACCTACATGTATACATGCACTTTTTCTATTTTTGGGGGGATCAAGTTGTAGATACTAATGCAGTACAACTAAACAGGAATTGCCATTAAAAGAGAAAATGGTGATCAAATCTGCCCTTCAAAATGACCCCGTCAGCAATGGGATAAATGTTCGAAAATAATAGGATGTTGATACGATCACTATGGAATAGATGTTGGTCAAATTGCACAGGCAGCTATGGTAATTACATTTATTTTGAAAAATGTTTGTTAGCTTGAATATTGGCTGTCTTTTAGCCCTCCTGAGTTTCTCAACACATACAGTTACACTATCCATCACACATACTGAGAAAAAATCAAATATTCAGTTAACTTGTCGAGAATTTATTAATGTGTTACTTTAACAAGAATTTGTTCATGTAATCTTTTTGTTTCATTAACAAAATTATTAACAGGAAAATACGTAAAACGGCTGCAAACTGCTAACTGACTGGTTGGACCTGAAATTTATTAATCACAAAATTAATGCGTCCTGACATTTTGAACTTAGCGAGTTCTTCAGAGGTTAAAATCAAACATTTTATACTTTAGCTTCTGAAGAACTTGCTGAGTTTGAAACACAAGTATGCATTCATTTTTTATCAAAACATTTATTAAATGTATTCCTTTGTTCGACTGTCAAATCCCATTATGACCAAATATACATAGGAAATTGGCTTTTTTTTCCATTTTGTTCAACACAATAGTAACACCATTCTCTAATTATTCAGCAAATACATGTTTATAAAAGTTGGATTAAGCACTGCAATTATGTCATGTGCATGTATTTGGGGCAAAAATAAGATACAGTATACAGTCGAATACATGTACTAATAAGAAGAGCACTGTTAATACATCCTGCTTATAACAAGGAAAATTTTGGTCCCAAGTCTTTCTTTGTCTTTGTTTTTCCAGTACTGATAATACAAGGTACATGTATCTGTTATAACAAGGTGATTTATTTGTCAAATCACAATGACCTTGAACTGTATTTCAATGTACCACCTATTCTCTGGACATTTTGGTGTAATTTTTCTTTACAAAATTTTTGTGTCAAATAAATGTATAGTGACTAATCATTACAACTGTCATTTTCTATTCAAGTGCACAGTACATGAATTGACAGATGTTCATGAAAGTACATGCTTCAAAGTATTCAAATACCCCTAAACAAACTATCAGTGAAATTTGGCCATTTGGGATATTCAGGGCTCTACTTCTCCTAGTTATAGATGTAATATTTGACTCTATGCAAAATGTTTCGGAATTATATTTTATATATTATTGTTATATAATATGGCAATCATATTTATTATTTATTAATAATTATATTTGTTATATAAGATTTATAGTCAGCCAGAATGATACCTGAAAGGTCAAAGATGCATATACATGTACCTGCAAATGTTACTGTGAACCCAAAGAGTGAGAAAATTATAATAAATACAGCAGTCTGGCAGAATTCTAGTGAAAGTTTTTATTTGAGAATTTTTATAGTGTACTGGTTTGATTCAAATGATTTCCAAGCCAAACAGTTAATTGTCACACTGTCATTAAAATGGTATGACTATTCACAATATTAAACACATTTAACAATAATCAATATTCTGCAGAGAAGACAACATTTTTGTAATTTACATGTCATTGCCAGTTTATGCGAATGCGAAAGCGTATCAAATTTTGAGGTTTCATTGTGACGTTTGACGTTTCCCTGACAAATTCACTTCATTGTGGAATTCGCGTGAAGTATGAACTGGCCTTTAGTGTCCTCGGAACATAATATTAGTGATAAATTGCTTATATGAGTAAAGCTTCTGAACAGAAACAGTAAAACACCAACTTTAATTTTAAAATGTTAGTGGTAAAAATTGTGTATGCACTGAAGCACAGGTATATATCTATTTGCATATACTTGTGCTGACAGAAAGACATGTACATAGGTAAAGCTTGTAACCAAGTACAAGCACCAAGTTGGATACCCACAACTTTCAGTTCAGTCTTTCTTTTCAAGAGATTTGAGCAATGCCATCATAATGGTCTGTGTCTGCTGTGCTTGTTGTTGCATAAACTGCTGCTGTTGAAGGACTAGATGCTGCATTTGTTGCTGCTGTTGTTGCATTTGCTGTTGATGTTGATTTTGCTGCTGTTGCAGAAACTCAAACCTCAGATTCCTTTCTTTTTCTTCTTGCTTTCTTCTTTCCTCTTCCTCTTTCCTTCTCATCATCTCCTCTTTTCTAAATTCTTGATCTAACTCAATTTTTCTCTCTAGAATACTGAAAGTCTCTGTGCCATTGTTTCTCCTCTTCCTCGGTGTGGTACATGTACTTTCACCACTCTGTCTGAAAGACCAATGTTTAATACAAAATAAATTCACATGCTACAAAGACTATAATGGGGTTATTCATATTATGCAACTTTATCTTGGATTTAGAAAATTTAGTTAACTTTGGAATTTAACATTTTATTTGGCCAGTTAGCATACATAAACATGTAAACAATGATATGGTTTCCACTGTTTCTTGTCTAGACACTGAAGTCAATATAGACTAAGTAATATTCAGAAAATCTCTTTTTAGCTGAATTTGGTTTTGAATTGTTCATAGCTAGTCAACAATACCTCTTTTTGGTCTCAGAAAATCTTTCCAACATCAGCTTTTGCATCTCCACTCCATCCAATCTCTTCTTTTCTTCTTCATCCTTTTTCTGAGATGGGATAAGCTCTGCGTCACACTCCATCTCATCCAGCTGCTCGAGTAGATCTCTGATTTCTCTCTGTGTATCTGTCTCCTCTGTGCTGATACCAGATGCAGCCCTGTCTTTGTTGTTTGCGTGTTTCAGTTTTGCTTTCAGCCCCTTGTACTTATCTCGGACAGTTCTTTGGTTGAGGGTTATGGCCGTCTTGAATGCTTCAGTAAGAGGTTGGAGAGCTGTGGCAACCTGCTCCCATACCTTTCCTCTCTCCTGCGTCCCATGTCTGTGCCTGAAGGGGTTTTGCACCACGAGTTCACGGAGTAAACAAACCTCCATACCTTCATTCCATTGTGACTTCTTCCTGGGAAATAAAGTTAGCAAAATCTGTGCTACAAGGAGGAGAACTAAATTGCCATTTCCTGTTTCGGTAAAGGCTTTTTGTTTAGTTCTTCACTTTAATTAACATGCATATGGTCAGTTCAACAATTTTGCACTGACTGAGATAAAAGAAACTTGGTGCACCCATTTCGCAAACTTATTTCATCCAGACTTATCGGTTGCTGTTTTTAGCTGTTCAGTAGTTACTTTTATTTACTTCAAAATCATCAAGATCTTGAGATGAGGATCTAAAACCAACATATGGGATAAGACATTTCAAACACCAATTATAATTGAGATGACACAATGAATGCAGGAAGGAGAGGGGTTGCAGTACATAACATGTGAAAGCTATTTTTTCGGAGTTGTGTGGTTAGTATGCCCTTGCGTTGTCAGGAGACATCAGCTATGTATTTTCTACAATAATTTCAGGTAAACTTGATGAGATGTAATTCAGTGCATGCTGGAGTGGCAAACAGAAAATGGGAGCATTTTTGGTCTGCCAGACAAGGTGTAACATAATATCTAATTAACATACATCTATCAAATTTTCCAAATATACCGGATGTGGGGAAATTACACTTCTGAAAAGTGTCAATTTGGGAATAAGATGAAATGTGAATTATCGTGCAATTGCCCACTTTAATAAGAACAAGGTTGTGAATAACATACTCATCTTGAAATCTATCTTGAACTTACTTCTTATCGGTAGGCTTACTGATCAGCTTCTCTCTACCATCCTCTTCGCCTGCGGGCTTCTTATCTGTCATACTTTCCTGTAATTTTGAAAATGTGATTACACAGTAGGCCCAATCAAACTAAGTCTAATTTTTATAACCATTTGTAGGCCTTTGTTACCTAATTCATGGAGCAGGATAAAAACAGGGCCCCAATTTTTTTTCTAAACATGTTTTTCAATTAATTGTTGTGATTGTGGGTTTATTTTAATTATTAATTTATCTGTTGATTGAATTAGGCCAAAAAAGTCTAGGATAGCTGTAGACTCAATCCAATTTGTATGGTTGCTCACTTCAATCTTTTATTTGCCAGCACAAACAATTCAGTGTACAGGTATATGGGCACCAGTGGGCACGGAGATGAGTTATTAGCAGTATAGTTTACTGGATGATCTGCTTACACTGGATACACTGGATGATCTGGATACAGTTGTACAGCCAAGACAGTTGAACAGCAGTTGTACAAACAGTAAAAACACCCTCCCGATAACACCTCAAACAGCTTCGGTGATTATCCCTCCCTTTTAATGTGAGCTTTAATTAGAAAGGGAAATATAGGGAGAATAAACAATGAGGTCATCAGGAGTAATTGCCATAATTATCATCCCTAAACTAGCTTATCAGTAAGGTGAAACAACACACATGTACAAATGAGAACCAGGTAATAACGGCGATCAGATGAGTCCATGTCCCTACAATAACTTGTATAATAACAGACTGTATCAAAACATGCAGGAAAGCCCATCAAAAAGTCCCAATATTTTCCCACTAAGTATATTTACGCCCCCAAATCTATATCCCTCAGTTAAATAACAATTTATGGAATAATCACTTACCCAACCGAGTATCTCTGAACCCCTATTTGTGTATGAAAATGCTGGTTTTGAACCCTGAAAATCACTTTTAGCGGTGGAGTCAGCCGCGCGGTCACGGCAGAAAGTGCGCCCTCAAGCGAATGCAAGAAACTGAAGCGCGCCCTCAAGCAAGGCATGCAGTGCAGCTGCAACATGGCCGCCCCCAAATTTCAACAAGAAATTTGCAAACTGTAATTGCAATTACAAAAACTTCAAAACTTTTAGTTTAACTTCAAACACTGGAAAATGCAGTTAACACGAAACAACAGGTTTGCTACTCTTGCGCACGCACTCAGTTCCTAATGCCACAGAGCCTAAAGGGAATGGGGATCTGGGTGAGTAAAACCTTGGTCAAACCGGGAGTATCACCTTCGTCATACTTGGCTAGTTTTATGAGCCGGGCAACAGGACGCTTGTAGACTCTGTTGTTCACTTGAACGTTGACCACCCTAACTCGCTTGTCGTCACTGGGAAAGACTTGAGTAACAGTACCCACTGGCCACTGCGACCTTGATAGCTGAGGATCCGCTATCATAACAACATTTCCTTCCGACAGGTTCTCCTCTTCCCTTTGCCACTTCTGGCGGGTTTGAAGGCTAGGAAGATAGGACCTAACGAAGTGACGCCAAAATTGATCAGCTAGCACTTGGCTGTGTCGCCAACTCCTACGACCCCTCAGTTCGCTCTCGTCATAGACTACCATTGGTAGCGCCGGATCCCGTCTTCCCATCAGGAGCATATTTGGAGTAACCGGATCCACGTCGGCTATCTCAGATGAAGCGTATCCAAGAGGTTTTGAATTTAGGATGCCTTCGACCTCCACTAGCACGGTGCGTAACACAGCATCTGTTACTGTCCTATCTCCAAGTACAGCCTTTAGTGCCCCCTTGGCTGACCTGACCTCACGCACCCAGGTACCCCCAAAATAGGGTGCGTTGAGGGGATTGAATTTGAACTTGACTCGATACTTGGCAAGTCGCTGGACAATATCTGGTTCCATTTCCTTCAAGGTCTGCTCGACTTCTGTATTGGCCCCCTAAAAGTTGGTTCCACAGTCACTTAGAAGTTCAAACGGAACTCCTCTGCGGGAGGCAAAGCGCCTGTAGGCCATCAGGAAGTGATCTGGATCAAGGCTCTCGAGAAGGTCAAGATGCACGGCACGAGTGGTCATGCACTTAAAAAGCAACCCCCACCTTTTTTCCTGTCTTCGCCCAATTTTAACTGTCATGGGCCCAAAGCAGTCCATTCCTGTCGAGTAGAAAGGTGGTTTTCCCAAGCGCAACTTGCACTCTGGAAGATCACCCATACGTGGGACCTTGGGTGTTCCTCGCCAGCGACGGCATCCGGGATAAGCATGCAAGATTCCCTTGACCTCGGCGTCGCAAATGGGCAAACACCTGTTCGGTTCCAGCTTGATGACTGAGATAGGCATCAGCGTCCTTTATCAGGAGTTTTGTCACAGGATGATGTTGGTCAAGTACGACTGGATGAGGCTCAATAGAAATTGAGTCGTTTTTGGCTACCCGTCTGAGCCGACCTCCAACTCTGATCAATTTGTCAGCTGGGTCAAGTTCAGGCGCCAATTCCAGCAGACGACTATTACGAGAAAGTTCCCTATTGGATGAAAGTGCAGTGACTTCCTCCTTGAAGGTGTCCTTCTGTGCCTGTCGTAGCAGTAAGATCTCGATCTCACGGCGTTGATCTGGAGTTAAGGTACCCTCGAGCAACTGGTCATCTGTGTAACGCTGCTGTCCAACCGCACTTACCAACTCTCCCCAACTGGGAAAGGCTTTGAAATCAACGTCTACCTCTGAAGTAGGAACTGTGAGTCCGCAGAAGACACTCCTTATTTCATTCTGTTCTACTGATGAGCTGACACGAGTTTGGGCCAAGACACTTGCACTGTCTTTCTGCCATTCCTCTTGTGGATCCAGAAGCCACTTTGGGCCCTCAGTCCACCTTGAGCCTTCTCCCAGCTTGCAAACCGGTAAGCCACGGGTTATATCATCAGCAGGATTGTCCTCACTCCGGACGTAGCGCCACTCAATGTCATCAGTCAATGTTTGTATCTCAGCTATGCGGGTTCCAACAAATACCTTGAAACGGCATGACTCTGACTGAATCCAGCTGAGTACTGTGGTGGAGTCGCTCCACATCAGAGTGTACTGGATCTCAACTGTCAGGGCTTCAAGGACAACTTGACAAATTTGGGCACCAAGGAGAGCTGCCATCAGCTCTTGACGTGGCATGGATAGTAGGCGCTTTGGTGCAACCCGGCATTTGGCCAATACAAAGCTCAAATGGACCTCCCCTTGGCTGTCAACTGTACGCAGGTAGGCAACTGCTCCGTACAGCTTCTCTGACGCATCACAAAATATATGCAGAGACCTCTTTGCTGTTGCTGTGTCAACCGATGGTGGTGTGTAACACCGCGGCAGGCGCATCTGTGGGATGTGTTCCAACTCGGTGCACCACTCCTCCCACCTCTGGGTCAAGCCGGTGTCTGTCACCCTCTCATCCCAATCCAACTTTTCTAACCACAGGTCACGAACCAACAACTTGGCTCTTGCAGTGAACGGTGCAATATCCCCCAGTGGTTCGAACTGACTGGCAAGGACCCTGAGAGCGATGCGCTTAGTCAGCACCTGGTTGTCTGGAACCTTCGCTGGGTGATGCAACTCATCACTCTTCCAGTCCCAACATAATCCCAGAGCCGGTTCCGGATCGCCTTCTTGTAGACCCAGGGACAATGACTGCACCTGACGAGTTGAGCATGCCTCCACAGGAAGACCTTCAAGTGTTTTGGGGTGACTGCTTGCATATTTCACCATCTGAAATCCTACTTCTTGTAGGCATTTGCGTGTGCCAAGAACAAGTTCGGCTGCTTCTTGTTCGCTATCTCGGCTGGCCAGCTGGTTGTCCACATACGTCTCTTTCTCTACTGTATACTGAACCTGTGGATACTGCTCGACCCGGTCCGTAGCAGCTTTCTGAAGGGCGAATGCTGCACAGCAGGGACTGCATGCAGCCCCGAAAGGCAGCACCATCCACTCAAAGACAACCCACTTGTCAAGCTGGTCATCTTTCCAAAGAAATCGGAACATTCGTCGCTCTTCAGGAAGAAGTCTGACTTGATGGAACATGGCGGTAATATCGCCCAACACTGCCACCTTACCCTGACGAAAACGCAAGAGAACATCCAAGAGCGATGGACCTAAAGTTGGACCAGCAAGCAATTCATGGTTGAGGCTCTGTCCACCACACTCAAACGAGCAATTGAAAACGAGACGGTTTTTTCCACTGCTGTGCACAACATGACATGGAATGTACCAACCCTGTTGCTGGTCCGCCGACAAATCATCCACCGGTCCAAGGTTCCTCACTTGTCCCTGGTCTTGGAGCTTCCGGATGTATGAGCGACAATAATCAGACAAATCTGGGTTCCGTTCAATTTTCCTCTGGTTTGAGCGGGCCAATGCCAGTACTGCTTGTGGGAGATTGGAAGGTCTCTTGGTTAGGTTTCCACAAAAGCGGAGTCTCTAGTCGTTTCACACCATCAACTTCAACTTCCTTGGTGTTCTCCTCCAAGATGCTTATGGCCAACTTGTCATTCCTTGAGCGGGTTGCCTGTTTCTCATTTACCTGCGGTAACTTGTCAACTGTCATAAATTGCTCCATCATCTGGTGCAGCTTCTGGTCTGGTTGCTGTAAGGTGCATGAAGTGAACAAAACCCTTTGGCCTTCCAAAGTTTTGCCAGGGATCTGCAGACCTTGGTGACCAAGAACAGTCCAGCCAAACAAGGTGTTCACCGCCACAGGTGAACTAGACTTTGGACCAGAGCGGGCTTCAGATGAGAGCGTGAGTTCAACATGGTCTGCACCGATTAGCACAGACGGTTGAACTCTATGGGCAGAAAACAAGGCTAGCCCTCTTAAGTGAGGCCACTTGTCTTGTAGCTGTTCTGCGGACACACTGTAATCGACCAGTTGAACATCTGGGGCAGTGAATGCACACTGTATAGCATACTTCTCACTGTCTCCCCGAGCCGAGACCTGAAAGTTGACACATTCTCCCTTCCATTTAGTGTCGCCCATCACTGTGGTAATGCAAAGATTCTCTTTGTGGCCTGAAATATCCAACTGTTCCACAACTGACTGGAGAACCATGGTCCTTTCGGCGCATTCATCCAACACGCCGAAGGTGTCGATGCTACCCCCAGGTCCATGAACAGTGAGTGGTACAACTTTGATCAGCACATCACGGTTGTAGTCAACTCTTGGACTGGGCCCAACTCCTGAGCACAATACAGCTTGTTTTACTGTTGGCTCATTGAGTTCGTGGAGACTGGTGCGATGGTCAGCCTGGCATTCTTCACACTTTTTTGGATACAGGCAATCCTTTTCGTGCTTCTTAGCACATTTTCTGCAGCGCTGGTTTGTTGTCAACCACTGGAGTTTCTGGTCCCGTTTCAGTCCCTTGAATTTTTCGCAAGTCTCCAGGTAATGGCCTGTCTCTTTTACTTTGCAGTACAGACAAGTAATCCTCTCAGGAGTCATTGCAGATGTTTTGCTTGGACTTTGGGCCTTAGCCTCCCAGTTGGCCTTCTTATTCTTGATTGTTGGCGAAGCTGCTGCCGACTGAGGACCAGCTTGGGCCATGTAAGACCTCGATGGATGTGGTTGGCTTCCAGAAGACCTCTTCTACCCTTGACTCTTCCACGGTGAGGACTCCCTGGTGGACTTCGACTTGCTTGCCCTTTCTAGGAGGATCAAACCAGCAGGACCGGTCTTCTTTTTTAACCACTGGCTGAGATGATGTACGGTGTATTTCATACCTTGGTCTTGATTCCACATTTTGGAAAGGAATTCTGAATGCAGCCTTTCAGGTAATTTCTTTACCAGTTCAGTGGCATAGCGATGATGCTTAAGTTCATCGCGGAAGTCGAATTTTTCTGCTGTCTCTACTGCAGTAGCTAGCTCATCAGAGAAGTCACGGAGTCCAGACCAATCGTTGTGAGCCAGGACAGGACGAGACTCTAGCTGATCTAGTAGGCCTTGGATTATTCGTGCTGGATCTCCATATGCCTTGTGAAACTGCTTCATTGTGGCGGCATATGCTCCATCTCCCAAGATGAGGTTGCGATCGGCGATAGCAAGTGGACGACCTCCAAGGTGACTTCGCAGGTAGGTGAACTTGGTGGCCTCTGGTAGGTGGCACATAGGGCCCTTCATGATGCTGTCCCACAATGTCCTAAAGGTAACGTACTGCCTAACATCATGCTCACTGTCAAACTTAGGGATGTCCAGCTTCGGGAGACTGTCCCAAATTCCAAAGCCACAGCCGTATGGGCCTGTGAAAGCTGTCACAGGACTGTTACTGGCATTGGCAACAGGAGTTAGGGGCTTGTCCGTCGCTTTGGAAGTTCCCTTAGGACAGCATGAATGATTGTTACCTCTATCACCCTCTGATGGGTCATCATCACCCGAGGAACTTGGTTCACTCTGCTCTTCACCACTGGAAACGTCTGCTCTACTGGTTGGCGGTCCCGGACCCTTGTCGTTCCCTGCAGGCTGCTGACTAGGAGGGCCACGTTGCGTTGAGCACTGACCACCCAATCCTTTTGTTGTTGGTGCGCCACTGGTAGACGGGAACTGTGCAACTGGTACACCATTGAACAAACGAACTGTGGGCAAAGACTGAACTAACATGGTGTTAGGTAAAAATGCGGGAAGATTTGGGTTAAAGGAATGTGGCAAGGAACTTGTTGCTTGCGCGCTCGCCGCCCCGTGAGAAACGTAACTTGTCATGGAGGTGGCAATGCTGGGCTGCAGCAATGGCGCAGACACTGGCATATATGTGCAAGGATTCACTGAGGTATCAGTACCAGCCGGCGTAAACACGGTGGGCTCAGAGATACTTACCCCATTGTTTACCCATGCACTTGTTCTATTTTTGATCGACTCATCCCGACCCGGCAAGTTATGACCTGACTCAATTTGATTTTGCTCTTCTTGTTCAACAACATCAAGTTCATGTTGCAGTCTCTCAGTCTCTACTTGAATCTCTGCCTGCCTATAGTCTGAGTCAATCTCAATTCCCCTCTGCATGGCCTGGAATTGGACCCTTGCTTTCTCCTCATCTGCTTTTCTCCGGAGCTCCTCAAGTTTCCTGCGTGACTCCTGTTCGGCAAGACGCTTTACGATCTCCGACCTGGACGATCTAGCTGAGGAGTTGTGTGAGATTCCACTGCGAATGGAGGGAGGTCGGCCAGGATCCACTGGTCGCTGGGGCTGAAATAATTCTGATTGCTGCTGTAGACTAGGCGGAAGTGTCACCTGGTGATCATGGGCTAAGTGTAGCGGGTAACGCCGATGACGAGCAGGTCGTGACTCTTCGGCTTGGGGTTCTTCAGCTTGGGGTTCTTCAGCTTGGGGTTCACCGTTGACAGACATGTCGATAAATTGCTGGATTGTATCCGGCTCGAAGGACCAATTTTCTGTAGACTCAATCCAATTTGTATGGTTGCTCACTTCAATCTTTTATTTGCCAGCACAAACAATTCAGTGTACAGGTATATGGGCACCAGTGGGCACAGAGATGAGTTATTAGCAGTATAGTTTACTGGATGATCTGCTTACACTGGATACACTGGATGATCTGGATACAGTTGTACAGCCAAGACAGTTGAACAGCAGTTGTACAAACAGTAAAAACACCCTCCCGATAACACCTCAAACAGCTTCGGTGATTATCCCTCCCTTTTAATGTGAGCTTTAATTAGAAAGGGAAATATAGGGAGAATAAACAATGAGGTCATCAGGAGTAATTGCCATAATTATCATCCCTAAACTAGCTTATCAGTAAGGTGAAACAACACACATGTACAAATGAGAACCAGGTAATAACGGCGATCAGATGAGTCCATAATAATAATAATAATAATAGTGGCATCTTATTAAGCGCAAACAGGTCCATCACTAGGTGACGCTCATGGCGCTATACAAAGAGTAAGCACAAACTACAAAACTTAAATGACAAAAATTATAAATAACAAAACTACAAATTATAAATGCTAGGTTCAAGACATATGAATTGCAAGGTGCAGGCCGAAGAGGAGATTAGGATGTGAACAGGTAGGTTTTGAGTTCTTGTTTGAAGGAGATCGAAGAGGGAGCTTGACGGATAGAGAGGGGTAGACAGTTCCAGAGAGTGGGGCCTGCGTGAGAGAAGCTGTGGTCACCCCAAGAGTGTCGGGATCGAGGAACTTGAAGAAGGGAGGAGTCTGATGATCGAAGCCTGCGTGGGGGGTGGTATGCCTGTATTGAGTTTTGTAAGTAGACTGGTGAGGAGCCATGGACTGCGTGGTAGACCAACAACAGAACTTTGAAGGTGATGCGTTTGTCAACGGGCAGCCAGTGAAGAGACTGAAGGACAGGTGTTATGTGACATGCTTTCTTGGTGAGAGTGACTAGTCTGGCTGCGGAATTTTGGAGGCGTTGCAGTTTATTTAGCTGTTGTTGAGGGAGGCTTACAAATATGGAGTTGCAGAAATCAAGGCGTGAAGAAATGAGGGCGTGGACTAGTTGTTCAGTTGCATTCCGACTCAGGTACTTGCGAACAAAACCAAGGTTGCGAAGTTGGTATCTGATTGACCTAGACACATGGGAAACGTGGTCATGGAAGGACATATTGGTGTCGAAGATGACACCAAGATTGCGAGTTTTGGCAGATGAGTAGATACTGCTAGTACCCACTTGTACATGAAAACCCTTCGTATCCACCTTGCCAAGCATTTGCTTTGAGCCCAGAAGAATGAGTTCAGACTTCAAGTGGTTGAGTTTTAGACCGCTAGAGTCCATCCACGTGTTGATGTGTTTGATGCATGCCTCCAGTTGTTTTGCTGCGGATGACATAGCAATGGCAGATGGTGGGAAAGAAACATACAGCTGTATGTCGTCAGCATAACAATGGTATTTGATGTTGTGCGCGTTGATGATATTACCTACAGGTTGAAGATATATTGAAAACAAGAGAGGACCACCGACTGATCCCTGGGGGACACCATAAGCAAGATGGCTAGCTTCAGACTTTGCATTTCCGATGCATACACGCTGAGAGCGATTTGTCAGATAGGACATGAACCACTGCAAAGCTGTTCCGCTGACTCCCAACGAGCATAACTGATCGATGAGGATACGATGGTCTACCGTGTCAAATGCTGAGGACATGTCAAGCAGAACAAGGGCTGTGATGTTTCCATTATCCATTTGTTGAAGTACGTTGTCCGTTAAATTTGTGAGAAGTGTTTCTACGCTATGATTTGAACGGTATGCTGATTGATTGCTGTCAAGTAGCGAATGTTCCTGCAAATGATCTGAGAGACGAGAGAATGCCACACGTTCCAAGACTTTGGAGAGATATGGAAGGTTGGATATTGGACGGTAACTCTGCAAGGAATTTGTGTCCATACCAGGTTTCTTTAATGTTGGTCGAACAATCGCTCTCTTTAGGACTTCAGGAACGACTCCAGTATCCAAGCTCACATTGATGATGTTAGTGATGACTGGGGTAATGGCAGACATACATTTTTTTAGAAGAGAGGTAGGGATCGGGTCTAGCTCACATGACTTTGCTGGTGACCTTGCCATGATGTTGCGAACTTCATCTGTAGATGCAGGAGCAAGAGTGTCTAAGACTGCACGAGTTTTACGTGACGAAGATGTTTGATTGATGGCTGGCAGACTGGCACGAATAGATTCTATCTTGCTGGTGAAGAAGTTGCTGAAACGAGCAGCTAGATCTTCAGCGAAAACATGTGTTGGAAGAGGGGAAGGCTGCTTTCTGTTCAAAAGATCGCTTGCAACTCTGAACAGTCTTTTCGTGTCACCTGAGCAGTCGTTAATTCGTTTCAAGTTGTACCCTGTTTTTGCAGCACGGACTAACGATTGGACTCGCTGACATTGTTGGCGATACAACTGACGATGTATTTCAAGCTTGGAAGATCGCCACTTCCTTTCAAGCTGCCTACGAAGAAGTTTTCCATCTGCTATTTTCTGGGTGTACCATTGAGTATTTGGTCGAATTTTCACTGAACGTTGTTGGACAGGAGCATGTGTGTTCAAAGTAGCTATCAGAATGGAGTTGTAGCTGCCGACAGCCAGATCTGCGTTGCTCACAGTGCATTTCTCTGTGAATGACGCTTCATTCAAATCCTCGATGAAGCAAGCAGGTTGTATAGACTGAATGTTTCGTGACACAACAGACTTCCGGGCAGTTCGCATACTTGGAGTATGTAGGTTGCAAGTAAGGGCGGAGTGATCAGAAATACCACCGATTATGTCAATGTCAGACAGTCCTGTGGGGTCGATCCCTTTCCGTGAAATAAGCAGGTCTAGAGTGTGGCCACGTATATGGGTTGGCTGACGGATGTGTTGCTCAAGGCCATATGCACTTAGAACATCACAGAAACCTCTGGCCTCAGGTGAAGTTGTATCAACGTGGATGTTGAAATCTCCGGAAATAATCAAACTGGCCTTCTTGAAAAGGTAGTTGTCCAGTACATCCGAGAACTCATTTAGAAAATCTTTGAAAGGAGTTGATGATCCTGGAGGTCTGTAGACGACGACCAGGTGTACAGCGTTTGAGTTCTGGATGATATCCATCTGTATCAGTTCAAAGGAACTGATATTATCAAGGGCTGGATGGATTTGTACAGTTAAATCACTCCGATATAGAAAGGCGACACCGCCACCTCGTTTACCTGTCCTTGGTATGTGCTTGAACGTGTATCCTCCAGGGTTGAGTTCTGCAATTACAGCATCATCGTCAGCGGATAGCCATGTCTCGCAGACACCAACAATATCAAATTTATTGTCGATAACAAAGTCAACGAAGGCGTTGGTTTTATTTTTCAGAGATCTTGCGTTGAGCATACATAAGGAGGTAGTATGTTCTGCTTTCGCCGTCTTGTTTGCAGTAAGCTGCACTAGGTTACTTTGGCAACAGTTCGCAGATCCATTGTGTAGATAGTCCGGATGATATTCACCAGTGGAAAAAGAAGTTTGTCTTCCATAACCAATAATTACTGGAATCAAACTTTGGGGAGTCGGCCTCCTTCTGTGAATCCCTGCTTTGCAACCTCTACGAGATCGTCTGCGTAGAGTTGTGCGTTTTCGAGGGTCATCTGTCTTTGTGACGTCCACTGGTGCATGAATCATGCATGGTGTCCGTCTGATGTTTAAATATGTGATTTTCCTGCATATCTGTGGCTGGAGTGGACATGTGGTGTAGAAATCAGGCCCTTGGTACAGGGAATAGAGCTCTGTAGGTTGGTACTTTAATTGAAGACAGAATGCCTGGGCAGAAGTCATCATTACTGTCCCTTGCTGACAATTGGCTAATCCATGTAGGTGTTGAGGCACAATGCATTCACCATGAGGATTAGGCGCAGGGCCATTGTAAGTGCTTGACTTCTTGATCTCTATTGTTGGTGGTGGTCCATTGTAAATGCTTGTCTTCTTGATTGCTGTTGTTGGTGGTGGTCCATTGTAAGTGCTTGTCTTCTTGATCGCTATTGTTGGTGATCGGTGTTGTGTGGAAGCTGGAGCGTGGGCTGCTGTACTGATGATCAAAGTACACAGCAATGTCCAGAAAAAGATCCCAAATATTCTCCAAAATGGGATCATATCACAGTAAGTTTGGCGAACCATGCTGATCAGCAGTTCCTAATCTGTATCTTGGTGTAAAAATCATGATAGAAATTGCAGAAGAATAGGTCGATCAAAGTCAGAGATCGGAGCCTGAAGTGGAGCTGCCAAATAGTAGCGCTGCCAATAACTTGTATAATAACTTGTATAATAACAGACTGTATCAAAACATGCAGGAAAGCCCATCAAAAAGTCCCAATATTTTCCCACTAAGTACATTTACGCCCCCAAATCTATATCCCTCAGTTAAATAACAATTCATGGAATAATCACTTACCCAACCGAGTATCTCTGAACCCCTATTTGTGTATGAAAATGCTGGTTTTGAACCCTGAAAATCACTTTTAGCGGTGGAGTCAGCCGCGCGGTCACGGCAGAAAGTGCGCCCTCAAGCGAATGCAAGAAACTGAAGCGCGCCCTCAAGCAAGGCATGCAGTGCAGCTGCAACAATAGCCCTGCCTAGGCCTAGGCCTGCCCAATCCTTTTCCCCCTTTTATTGGGGGGGGGGGGGCAAGCCCGTGATTAGAATGCCTACATTACTTTTACTTTAGGCCAGTGGTTAGTAGCGGTGGCGCCTGTGTAGGATACTTTTCGTAACAAGTTTAAGGCCCATCATTTTCAATGCACACTGTATGCTGTAGGCAGGCCTAGGCCTACTTTTAATATGGTGACGTACAGTTGACTTCGAAGTTCACGAAGTTGCAAAATACACTGAGTTTAGAACACCATCACAAACCTGTGTAGTAACCACGCGAGACACCTTACAATCTTTGAAAGGATAGGATAGGCCTAGGGCCTAGTAACAGTCAGCTAGGCCAACCACTTATTCATTTATTTACATTAAACCGATGATGAAAACTTACCGTATAAATACTCTCCAACAC